CAGATCAATAAGGGTTTGGGGGCTGCAGAGACGGCTCAGTGGTTAAGAACATTGTCGACTCTTCCAGAGGATCAGGGTTCAATCCCCAGCACTCACTTGGGAGCTAACAATTGTTTCTAACTCTAGGTCCAAGGGGACCCGATACCCTCTACATGCTGGCAAAACAGCCATATATATAAAATAAAAACAAATCTAAAAAAAATATTTATCTGGGAGGTGGTGGCTCACACCTTTAATCAATGCAGTCAGAAATCCCAGCACTCAGGAGGCAGAGGCAGAGGCAGGCAGATCTCTTTGAGTTCAAGGCCAGCCTGGTCTACAGAGTGAGTTTCAGGACAATCAGGACTACACAGAGAAACCCTGCTTCAAAAAACCAAAGAGTTGAGTTTTGACAAATTCTCGTGTGTGTTGAATCGAAGGTCAACTGATTTGGCAGAGAGGTGCTAAAACCACTTAAAGGCATAAAAATCTCACTGTGTTCAATAAACAGTGGTTTAGTAAGTGAGGGACTAGGGATGGAGCTCAGTTCTCAGTTTGCTTTCTTAGTAGGTATGAAGCCTTAGATTCAATTCTCAGTACCACATAAACTGTGTATGGTGGCATATTATCCTTGCATAATTCTAGTATTCAGAAGGTGGAAGCAGGAGGATCAAACTTTCAAGGTTATCCTTCATTACACAGTAAATTCTTATGTAATCTGGACTACAAGAGATGCTATTTCAAAACAAGGCAAAACACTAGCCCTAACATTAACCCACTTTAAGCACCAACCTATACAAGGAGGATAGTAAAGAATTACAACAGATTCTAGCTACAACCCACTATATCTCCTATCTGGTTGATTTTAATACTAGAAGATTTTTTTTTAAAAAAGCCTTATGTTTCTCTTTATTGTTGGTATTACTTTTACTTTTGGCTTGTGTATATGTGGTGTATGAGGTGTGCATGCCCATACACGTACATGTGGAGTCTTTATCATCTTCAACCTTATTGCACTGAGACAAGGTCCCTTACTAAACTGGAAGCTTGTTCTTTTCGCTAGGTCAGCTCTGGCATCTGGCTACCTCCACCTCTTGCAGAGAGAATGTTCTTACCCATTTAGCCAACTCACTAGCCCCCTTTTACTTTTAAATTCCTATTACCTTTTAAACAATTTTTCCTTATTTTGTAATTAAATTTTTTATCTCTTGAGATGCTCTTTCATCACATCATTTTTCTACCCTCTCTTTTATTTCATTCTTTTATTAATTTTACTTTTTGTTTTAAATTTTATGATCTATTTTTATATTTTTTCATCATTCCTATGATCACTGATGGCATACTGCAGTTTCTGTTTTTGTGTTTTACTTTTTATTATATTTCTGTACCATTTTTTGACATTGCTGTTATGGCAGTTTAATTTCTCTTTTCTAAAAGCAGTAAGTTTTTGGAGTAAGCCTTTAAGAAAAAGCTACCGATAAATGAGATAACCATAATTGCAAAACCACATTGAAATAAAATATGAAAGATCAAAGCAACATAACTCCTCTTAAGGTGAAATGGTTGAAATTCTAGACAAAAATTCTAAAAAATGACTGAGAACATGAGTTTAAATTCTTGGGGCCCATGGAATCGCAAAGATCCAACATGTACAAGCTGTGCTCTGACCTCACTTGCTCTGTTAAATACACCTGTATGTAAGTACTCACGTATGCACCATAATAAAATATAAAACAAAATAAATAAAAATAACTCAAAAACAAAGAATAAACTAGGTAGAAGAAAAAATATTAATGATTAAAGGCAATCACACAACAATAAAGAAAAAAATCCTATGACCACAAGATTCAAGATGTCTGGTACAGGATTAAGAGACCAAACTAACAAATCTGTGATAAACTTATGAACTGAGATATAGATTAAAGCCATGGTAAATGTCTTAAGTTACTTTTCTATTGCTGTGATAAAACACCATGACCAGGATAACTTACAGGAGGATTTATTTGGAATGTACAGTTTCCAGGGAGATAGGAGTTCATTATCATCATCATGGTGGGAACATGGCAGCAGGCAGGCATGGCCCTGGAACAGAAGCTGAGAGCTCACATCCAGATCCACAAACAGAAAGAAGAAAGAGCACTCTGGGAACGGCACAAGTTTTTAAACCTCAAGTTTGCCCAAAATGACATGCCTCCATCAACAAGGCCACACCTCCTATTCCTCCCAAATAGCTCCACAAGTGGTGACCATTCTCATTCCAACCACCACAGTAAACTTAGTCAATAAAATTGCTCCTAAATCTAGTGAGGAGGACAGACATCCAAGTACCATCTCAAATAGATATTACCAGAAAAGAACCTCAACATATTATATTATAGTTAAACTATCAACAGTTTAAAAGAAGAACTGGAAAGATGGCTCAGTGGTTAAGAGCACTGACTGGCTGCTCTCCTACTCTCACAGAATTTCCAGGCTCAATTCCCAGCATCCACACAGCAGCTCACAACTGTCTCTAACTCAGTCCCAAAGGATCTGACACCCTCTTCTGGCTTCAAGGACCTGTACACATGTAGTACTCAGATATATATGCAAAAAAAAAGACCTATACACATAAAATAATTTTTTGTTTGTTTTTTTTGAGATAGGGTTTCTCTGTGTTGTTTTGGTGCCTGTCCTGAATCTTGCTCTGTAGACCAGGCTGTGCTCGAACTCAGAGAGATCTGCCTGGCTCTGCCTCCTGAGTGCTGCTCCATCCGGCCATAAAATAATTTTAAAACAATTTTGAAGAGTTTAGAACAAAAGATATTTGAAAGCTTCAAGGGCGAGGAGTACAGGTTATTTAGAAAGGCAAACCTATCAGAACATTTGCAGACTGCTCAGCAGAAACCATAAAAGCTGAAAGAGCATGGACTGATGTTTAAACATCTGCCAATCAAGATTACTACATCCACCAAAGTTACCTTTTAAAACTGAAAGAAAGGACTGTAGAGATGATTCAGTTGGTAAATGCTGTACAAGCATGAGAACTGTGTTTGAAGCCCTAGAATTCATGCAAAAAACTGTACCTGGTGTTTCCTATAATCCTAGTTGGAGGGTGGGGTGGGAGTTGCAGGGCAGGACAGATTAGGGAGAAGAGCAGAGACAAGCACATTTGTAGGGTTTACTGGCCAGTCAGTATAGGCAAACTTGCAAGTTCAGTGAGAGATTCTCCCCCCAAAAAAAATTTTTTAATGTATGTTAAGGCTGGAGAGATGGCACAGCAATTAGGAGCATTTACTGCTCTTCCAGAAGACTTGGGTTCAGTTCTCAACACCCTTATCACTTGGTTCCATACTGCCTAACTCCAGCTTCAAGGAATCTGACACCTTCTTCTGGCCACAGCAAATACCCATAAGGGAGGGAGGGAGGGAGGATAGATGATACAGTCACATGGAAAACAAGTCAACTGAATTAAATGGTTATTAGGAGTTAGTGTACTACCCAATAATTGTACTCCTACTTAAAAGACCAGAAGAGAAATTAAATAACAGATGACCAATCAAATCCTTGTACATGAACATTCACAGCAGACTATTCACAATGCCCTAAAAGTCTAAACAGATTAAATGTCCAAATAGATGAATACTAAACAAACTACATTGTATATACACAATGGAATATTACCTCTTAAAAGTAATGAAAGGTATAAGGTAAATCACCAGCCCACTATGTACAAAGCTCAGAGGGGTTTCATTGTGAACACTATGACCCTCAAAATGAAACAAGAATGAGAAATGATGAACCTTTTAAAAACATACTGAAAGAAGCTAGTCACAAAAGGCCACATATTATTATTCCCTATTTATAAGCTATCCAGGAAGGTCTATAGATATAGAACATAACTCATGTTTTTATTGTGCAAAATCTTTTTCCTGCTGGGTGGTGGTGGCACAAGCCTTTAATCCCAGCACTTGGGAGGCAGAGGCAGGCAGATCTCTACGACTTCAAGGCCAGCCTGGTCTACAGAGTGAGTTCCAGGATAGGCTTCAAAGCTACGGAGAAACCCTGCCTCAAAAAACCAAAAAAAGAGAAAAATCCCAATTAAGACTCTTGACCTGGTATGTATGTATATAAAATATCAGTCAATAAAACACTCAAAGATTCTCTAAATTTAATAAAAACAATCAGCACCAAACATCAGAATAACAAACCTGCAAAGAAAATTCATTACAAATGATCTTTAAAGACTACCAAAGCGCTGGGTAGTGGTGCACAACTTTAATCACAGCACTCGGGAGGCAGAGACAGGCAGATCTTTGTGAGTTGGAGGCCAGCCTGGTCTACAGAGTGAGTTCCAAGACAATCAGGGTGGTTACACAGAGAAACCCTCTCTCAAAAAACGAGAGAGAGAGAGAGAGAGAGAGAGAGAGAGAGAGAGAGAGAGAGAGAGAGAGAGAGAGAGACTACAGCAATAACTACAACAGAAAAGTGAACCTGCTATTTTGTCTCCTGAACCCATCACAATATCTAACATTCTCTCTGAAAGAAAAAACAAAACAAACCAAAACAAAACAAAACAAAACAAAAACCCTAAAACCAAAGAACTCTTTCCTCTTTATACTTAAGATCCCAATGAATCTTGGATACTTCTATATCAATTATCTATCATAGTCTCACTGCTGTAATATTAACTTACACCTTCTTGCTGCTTTCAAAAGTCTTCAATTGAAATCACCTTTAAAGCAATATAATAGCAATACAAAACGATGCATCATAATTAAGAATTTAGATGAACTATTAGAAGACATTAGAATGCAGTTTCAAATAAATTATACCTCAAGATAAAGGTTTAAGTGACTGCAAGGGAGGTGGGAAGAAACTGAGTTTATTTTTGCTTTCACTGTACACTGCATCTAACTCAGCAAACTCCCATCCCAACGACTTAGGCTCTCTTTTAGTGTCCCCTTTTGCACAGGTGGATGTTATCAAGCTTGATTTTACTAGATCTAATGTAATGTCATCAACAATTAGCAAGGACTTACACTGGTCACTCGACGGTAGATCTGCGCAGCATTTTGGCACTCTGAGTATGGATATTCAGATGTAGCCATCTCAAGCATGCACATCCCAAAAGCATAAACATCAACGGATTCATCATATTTCTCCTCATACATCTCAGGAGCCATGAACTCCGGAGTACCTTAAATTAAAACAATGATTCAGACTCAACAGATCAGTAGCTGTAGGTGTTACCTACCAGAGGTTTCAAGAAACAAAGAGGTTGACCTTGGGGGCGGGGGGGGGGGGGGGGGGGGGGGGGGGGGGGGGGGGTGAAAAAGAAGAGGGGAAAAGAGGAAGGAAATCTTCTTAGCCTGTTCCATCAAATATCCTATAGAAGATCTTCCACTGTGAGGCCTTTAAAACACACTGAACAGTCAGGTCCATGACTACTTATACTGTTGAAATTGTGTTCCCACTATTAACTTTGGCTAAGAGATTATATTAATATTATTCATAATGAAAACAAATAGAAGGAAAGGTAATAAAAGAAAAATAACTAGCAGGAAACAAAATGGATACTGTAAGACAGTAACACTAAAAAGATCAAATACTTGTCTGCCCTCTATGGGAAGTTGGAGTATTTACAACTTGCCTCTTGCCGTTAATACTTCACATATTAAGGGGGGGGGGGGGGGGGGGGGAGACACAACCTAACCTCTGTATTCAATATATATATATATTTTTTTTAAAGATTTATTTTATTTATTATGTATACAGTGTTCTGCCTGCATGTGTCTTTGCAGGCCAGAAGAGAGAACCAGATCTAATTGCAGGTTGTTGTGAGCCACCATGTGGTTGCTGGGAATTGAACTCAGGACCTCTGGAAGAGCAGTCAGTGCTCTTAACCACTGAGCCATCTCTCCAGCCCTCAATATATTTTTAAAGGTAATAAAATGTAATTATCTGCAAAGGCCACTCAACAGAGCCTTTTCTTCACATACTTATGATCCAACCTACAGTAAACAAATAAGCCTAATGCAGATATAGGAAATACAGTGAGGGACATCCTATGGGTGAAAAACAAATGCACATACACATACGAATCTAGAGCTCAAATATAGACTGGTTTGTGAGCACAGTACGTATGTGTATGGTCCTACAAGATTAGATTTTACAATGATTTCAGAATCTTTAACTTCAATTCCAGAACAAGTATGCACATTATAATTTAATAAACAAAGGAAATAACTCTGTTGGATTAGTGATTTTAAGATCCCCAAGACAATCAAATGCTTCCTATAAAGAAAACAAAAGGGCAATTCAGCTTCAAATGTACTTTTCTTGCTAATATATTGTGTAAAAATGTATAAACAGCATTAGAAATCCTAACTTCAAAATATTCCAATGAGAACACTGGTTTGGTTTTGTTCTTTAAGTAAAAAAAAAAAAAAGAAAAGAAAAGAAAAAAATGCAAATTATTGGTGTGTCATGCTTTTCTTACTGGTACTTAGGATTCTGGCCCACTTAATAATGAATGAGCTTTTAATGTCATACCCTATATAGGAGAGCAGAATAGAATGTGAAATGAAAAATTTTTAAATTTCAGAGAGTTAAACCTTAGCAAAACAGCCATTAGAGTCCGAAAGGTCACTCTTATTCTTTGGACTACGTACTGATTTCCTAATAGGGTTAATTTTGCTCTCCTTACAGCAATACAGCAATGTCTGAGACATTTTTGGTTGTAGCAATTAAGAATAAATAGACAAGGAATGCTACAAGTATTTTGTGCTAGAACCCAGGTATGCTATGAAATAATTCTACACTATACAAGAAAAACCCTATACAGTAACTGTCTAGCCCCAGCTATCCAGAGTACTAAGGCTGAGAAATCTAATTTTGATATATCATTCATTATAAAAGGTGAGAGTAAAGGAAAGTTGATGAGATCAGCTTTTCACAAAACACCCCCATATATTCCTACTTTCAAATCAAGTTTTTACAGCCAGGTATTCTTGAAGATACAGCCAACGGACATTTCTGAAGCTAAACTACATATAAACTTCATTTACTTTACAAAAAAAGCAACACATTGCTTTTACTGTATAAATATGAATATAAAATATTAAGTATTAACAGAATGATTCAGTGAGGCAGTAAAAAGGTTTTACCAATGAAATTCACCTTACTTCTCTCCATGTAACTTTATAAAACATCAACAGTCTTCCAAATGATTTTAGAAGCTTAAATATTAAAAATTCTTTCATTTTATATTTAACTAGACTTGATCACTAGGTTCATGATATAGATTTCTGAAGGCTTATTTAGTGTCAAAAAAGATATGACAGGATCAGGTTTCTAAAGAAAAGCTATGTCAAAAGCCAGACTGGCTCCAAAGCACACTGGAAACATACCTATCACACTCTTGGCAAAAGAAGCCCGCTTTAGAGTTGCCAGACCAAGGTCTCCAATTTTCACTGAGCCTGTAGGGCCGGTGATAAAGATGTTGTCACATTTAAGGTCCCGGTGAATAATTGGTGGAGTTCGTGTGTGGAGAAACTGAAGTCCTTTAAGGATTTGCCGACACCAGCTTCTTAGAACTTTGATTTTCATCACTTTAAACCTTTTTAAGTACCTGAAGAGGCAAAGTAAACCAAACAGGTTATCAATGATACCAGCTTTCTGCTTTGAAGAATTCCATTAAATTCTAACATACCAAAGATAAGATATCAAATTTAGAATATTGAGACTCAATAACTTTAAGGGTTAGTAATACTTTTAGTAAGGTTAAAGGGGCTGAGATAAGTTTAAAAATAAAATTCTATTAAAAGACAAGAAATAAGTCCTTGAAACATTTTTATTGTTGAGTAATGAAATTTTCTTGAAAAAAATTCTTATGTGTAAATATATGTATCCATGCATATGGGATAGGGGAATGCATGCACCTGTGCATGTGTAGAAGTCAAAAGAGACAGATGAATCCCTTGGAACTGGAGTTACAAGCATTTACCAGTTGCTTGGCTTGTCACCTGGGTGCTGGGATCTGAGCCCTTTCTTGCCTTCAAGACTGTACAGCAAGTGATCTTAACCACTTCTCTGGCCATTAGTTTGTTTTGAAAGATCTATGCAGCCCAGGCTAGCCACAAATTTGTAATTCTTCTGCCTCTGCATCCTTCTTTCATTTTTTGTTTTTTTTTCTTGAGAATGGGTCTCATATAACCCAGAGTGGCTTCAAACTTTCTATATAACTAAAGATGATCTTGAACTTTTGAGCCTCCTACCTCTGCTTCCAAAGGTTAGAACTTTATGTACCACCATGCCCAGTTTTTGCAGTACTATGGATAGAACCCAGGCCTATGTGTATACACTAGGCAAACTCTGAGCTACATCCCCAGCTCTCAAAGAAACTATTTAATAAGCAGTAAGAAAATTCCTGTAACAGCAAAAAAAAAAAAAAAAATGTATACTTTAAAATTAGTTTGCTATTGACATAACTAAAAGAATTCTGCTTCTAGTAAATAATGGAGTGGCTTCTACCAATGTATTCCTAAACTGGTTTTTAAAAAATGCAAAATGGGCTGGCAAGATGGCTTACTACGTTTAAAAAAAAAAAAAAAAAAAAGAGCAAACCAACTTCTCCAAGTCATGTACCAGAACACGTGTTACCCATACACATATGCACAAACACAAAAATAAATAAATAAATGTAATTTAATGTTTTCTTTAAATAAAAAACACAAAACAGTGATTGAAAGGAGATAAAGAACAAATCAAAATCAGTCAGAATGATTTCACATGAGAATAAAGGAAAAAACAATGTGTAAGCAGCCTATGTATGTATGCGCACATGCATGTACATGTGGAAAGAAAGGTCAACTTTGAATGTCCTTACATCATCTTGTATTTTCACCCAGGGTCTTCAACTGACCTAGAACTCATCAAGTAGACTAGACAGACTGGCTAGAAAGCCAGGACTGGGCTCATAAGCAGATAATCATGCCTTGTTTTTTTTTTTTTTTCCCCCTGTGGGCTTTATGAAGACTGAACTCAGGTCTTCGTGCTTTCCTGCTCAGTGGGTAAAGGTACTTGCTGCCATGCCTGATGACAATCCCCATGATTCACATGGAACAAATTTTGAACACGGTGTAATAAAGAACAGTTCTATGACTGTAGTGCAAAGGTGATAAGGAAAAGAAAGGTGGGGCTAGAGAGATGCTTCAGTGGTTAAGAACACTTGCTGTTGTTTCAAAAGACCTAAGTTCAGTTCCCAGCATCCATGCCAGGCAGCTCATAATTGCCTTTAACTCCAGCTCCAAGGAATCCAATACCCTGTTCTGGCTTCTATGAGCATCTGCATACGGGTATTGTGCACATACATGCATGCACACCCAGAGACACACACATACAGACACACAAAGTAAACTTTTTTTCTTTTATAAAGATGGAAGAGGAGAAGGGCAGATAACCTGGTGCATAAACCTAATGACTTAAGTTTGATTTCTGGAATTCATGGCAGAAGGAAAGCAGTACATCCTGGATTTAGTCTTCTGACCCTTTATGCTTGTACCATGGAATGCTTCTGGACTAGTACACACACATCATTCTTACTCACACTCTAATTTATTCTCATATCTCACTCCTCTCCACCCACTTCTCCCCCCCCCCCCCCCCCCCCGCCATAATAATAAAATACACTTTAAAAAGGAAAAGAAGAGACTAACTCAACAAGAGGGAAATCATGCCATCACGCCTGAGTACCAGAAACCTAGCCACTACCTAGGACTAAGATGAGGATCTTGAAAGAGAATCTATAACTGCCCACTTTATTAAACCAACATAATCCCTAACTACATTCTAAATTTTCATTCTTATACCCACAGAGCAGTGTAGTTCTTTCTTTCACTCTTTTTTGGTTTTTTTCAAGGACAGGGTTTTCTTGTTGTCCTGGAACTCGCTTTGTAGCCCAAGGTGGCCTGAGGAAATGCAGTTCTTATCCTTCAATAAGGAAAGTTCTCTTAGTAACAGAGACCACCAACTTATCAGAATGCAGACACATGTAGCATCCAGACACAACTGATACGCATCTACAACATAAGTCCTGCACCTAAGGCTCAAGATCATTGTGGAAGAGGGGGCAGAACAATTTTAAGAGCCAGAGAACAGGGGAGTTGTGTGTTTTCTATGTCAGAAGCTATACCCATAAAGTCTCTCTAACATGTCTGCTTAAACATGACCTGAACAAAAACATAAACATATAAGCTAACATGGGAAGGAGAAAGTCTCAACCCTAAACGAAGACCTATAAGCAATTAAGAAATGCTGAATGGAAAAATTAGTCTTTCCCCAGAAAAAGGACACCAATAGGTTATCAAATACAAAATGGTCAGCTCTGAAAACATACACAGCAAGTAACATTATAGACTGAGTAGATACTTATGTACTTTGGAATATGTGTATAAACACACACAAACATATATATATATAAAAACAACTGGAGAAGAGAGGGCCATGAATTTGAAAGAGAAGCAAAGGAAGCAGGTACCATGGGAGGGCTTAGAGGGAGGAAATGGAGGGGGGAAATGACAAATACACAATTATAATCTCAAAAAATAAAATATTTAAGAAGGGGAGGAAGAGCTGAGAGATGGCGGCTCACACCTTTAATTCTAGCATGCTGGATGCAGAGGCAGGGCCGATCTAAGTTCAACAGCCTAGTCTACAGAGAGAAAACCCTGTTTTAAAAAACCAAAAAGAAAAAAGATGAGGGAGGGGGAGGAAAGAAGAAATTCCCAGAAAGTAGTCACAAAATAAAGCCCTCAATTCTGTATATTTTCTATCCAAATCTCCAGTTAGTTAACTGATGAAATATGTACATATGCAACAGAATCCACAGAATGACTAAGTGAAGAGTATGGCATAAAAGTCTCTGTTATCTAATCACTATAGAGGAAAATATTGAGAAATGCATTGTGGTACACATTTTATTTGTACATATGCAGTGAGGGTGAGGGAAGGAAAAGCATCTACTAATATTTTCATATTAGTACCTTTAAAGTACATGCAACTAGTTAATAAAACCTGTATTTTGTGAAGGTCTATGAAATATACATGTATCAAATATAAAAAATCACAGTATAAAAGCAAGTATTTGCTAGGAAACATGTGTTTTACATGAAAGTGTACAATATTAGCACTAAATTTGTAAGAGAGGTGAGGATATAAATAAAATCTCCACAGTAATCATTTTTTTAAATCCTACATATACAAGATTTGGATCTATCAAGAAAAACTAAGAGTAGAACAAAAATAAAACTTACATTTGGATGGAGCAATTAAATTAAACTTAATAGCAAAGGCAAGTTGTTTTTTAATTTTTAATGTGTATTGGTGTTTTGACTACCTGTATGTTTGTACATTTGGATGGAGCAATTAAATAAACTTAATAGCAAAGGCAAGTTGTTTTTTAATTTTTAATGTGCATTGGTGTTTTGACTACCTGTATGTTTGTGCACCAAGTGTGTGCCTGGTGTTCACACTGGCCAGAAGAGGGTGTCTGATCATCTGAAGACTAGATAGTTTTGAGCCATCATGTGCTGCTGGGACTAAACGAGGGTCCTCTAGAAGAGAGCCCAATGATCTTAACTGTTGAGCCATCTCTCGAGTCCCTAATTACTTTTAATCCTTAAAACCTGCTTTTAGAGCAGGACGTGGTGGCATACATCTTTAATCCCAGCACTCAGGAGGTAGAGGCAGACAGATCTCTGTGAGTTCAAAGCCAGCCTAGTGTACAAAGTGAGTTCCAGGACTAGCCAGGGCTGTTACATACAGAAACTCTGTCCTCAAAAAAACAAAACAAACAAAAAACCTGTTTTAGGGGAGAGGCTGGGGTGAATATAATCAAGATATGATATATGAAATTATCTAAGAATTAATAAAAATATTATTTTAAAAAACCAAACAAAAAAACCCTAATACTAGGAATGAGTTATCTGTTTTTTGAGTTCATGGCCACTGGGGTCCCACACACACACCCCTAGACATTACAGTCTATTGTAATTGTTCTTGGTTACCCTCCAGAAACTGGTGGCAAGGACACTATTGCTGAAGATATCACATAGTTGAGGAATAGGACATGGAGAATTCAAGGCAGAAATTTCATCCCTACTGACAAGTTTTCATAGTGCTGGAGGTGCTATGCATTCTACTGAGGAGGAAAAGTAATCAACTGTCCTACCCAGTTGAGAACCCTGAGCTACAAATAGGCTTATCCTGGCACTTATGGGAATAAGCAGGGCACTTTATAATTGGATTTAAGATAGACCCCATGCCTGGTACTACCATGGCTACTAGGTCATAATAAGCCCTAAGGGGAAATCTACTACTATTATTCTATGAAATGGACACAGTATTAGAATGACTCCTAATGGCTTATCATTATACCCAATTCTAGTATATCTCTAATCCTCATAAGAAAAGCTTCTTCTTTTGCAGCAGATAGTAATTAATACAGAGACTGATAACTGGACAAGATATAGAGAATTAGAGCCTACAGAGTGCTCGGCTCTAAATGGTACATCTATGTTACACCTCCTCCCTCTCTATGGACCAGAGATCATTGTTAAAGAGGAGGGGTGA